ATTAAGAATAATACAATTTCCAAAATTGCTTGTTGTGATGGGTGATGAGTTCGAGACTGGTCTCAAATTTTAAAGTATGCTAATACTTTTCTCTGATTGTGAACATTACTATGTTAAATAAAAAAGACAAAAATAATTAAGAACAACTTTTAACCTCAACATCCTTAAATGATGGTAATTTTACTTTTTTACGAATATTCCAAAATTCAATGTGCTATAGAGCTTTTTTCTAATGGTGCGTTATCAAAGACTACATCGAAAATGATTGTCTTCGTTTTTTAGTTCTTTTTTAACTTTCCGTTAGTAGTGCGCTAGGTTAGGTACTAATACAAACGGTCAAAAGGAACAACAGCAGGAACTTAATTTTAAGTATTGACTACATGTTATTCGAAGCCAAATTCGACACTTGCTCAAGAATTACCCTATATTGAATCGCGAAACCAAACAAATCAAATTAGCATATTAGGATTTTCAGGTTTAAGATATAGGTAGGTACCTATTCGGTATTCAAAAATTGCGATGTGTTGGGGTAATTCTGAAGCCACTGTCCAAAAACGACATCCCTCATTTTTCTTTCCTGAACCATGCAGAGACCGACCACAATGATGATTTGGACTGATAACGAAATATATTTTTTTGAAAATAAGTGAATAATTAATTTTCTTAGGAGTGAAAATTAGGTACATTGAATGTAAACAACGCGTATTGTGTCTATATATACAAAAAAGACTAATAGCAGTAGGTATCGTCACCCTTGCGCGTGTTCGCCCCCTGTGACGTCGGCATATTTTAAGGAGCCATGTGTATGGCAATGTGAGAAACTTATTTTAAGTAAACAGGGGGGATGGACGAGACCTATACCGATAAAGAAAACAAACACACCACCGCACTAGTGCACTGTTGTTTATACTGACAAATTGATTTCTCTATAATCACTTATCACAGTCATGTGTCCAACCCTAATTTTTCACACATCCGACTGTGAGGCGTTAACAATTCTTCTGTAAAGCCTGATTTACTCTCTTATTTAAATCGCTATCTATATACATTTATATTACTATATTTTGAACATTTAATTAAAATAGACTTGCCTTATTAGCCTATAATTTAGATTTATCCAATAAACCAGTCGTTCTAATCTAATGATTTTCTAAAGAAATACCCGAAATTTTTGTAGTATGCGAAAACAAAATTGAATCAAGAATAAGTTTGAACATTAGTTCTAGTGTTATCTATTTTTGCTTAATAGGTATTTTTAGTAAAAGCAGTTGTCAATTGCTTACAGAACTTTAGTAGCAGCCAGAACGAAAGGAAATTTAAAACAAATATTAAATTAAAACAAGTAGAAAAAGGAAAAGTTGAATTACTTTTTGTTGAAAAAAGTTACCGACGTTCTTTATTTTTGTCAGATGGGAAATCGCAGCTGGCCAATAAACGTTCTGGGGTGTCTAATTGAATTACTAATGTTTCATTGGGGTCTTTTAACACAAACTCAAATCATTGTTTGCACGCGGTAGGCACAACTACACTTGAATAAATAAATTCATTCCTGGATGTATATATGCACATTACACAATATATATATATTACGTACATACGTATACCTGTGCACACCTAAATAGTGAGTGATATATGTATATCTACTCAAGATCTTCATTTTTCATTCGATTGTTTTGATAAATTTTAGGAATAAAGGAATTTACCTTCTGATGCCGTGTCTGTAAAATTATTAGATCCAGGTCTGGAGGTCTGACGGACGCAACGCGGGTCAAATAATAAGATCGCTTCTGTTCTATTATTATTTCATGTTGAGATTTATTGACTGAATTATAATGCACAGTCTTTCCCTATTTGTCAGGTGTCAATCCAAGGAAACAGCGTCGGGAGCGGACTACGTTTACTAGAGCTCAACTGGACGTTCTGGAAGCCCTCTTTGCCAAAACGAGATATCCGGACATTTTTATGCGAGAAGAGGTGGCTCTAAAAATCAATCTTCCTGAATCGAGGGTCCAGGTTCGTACTTATTACTTACTATTTACCTACTATTAGTTTAGTTCTCACACCTTTGTTTTTTTCGTTCAGAAATTTTACTAGGTAGATATAATATACTGTAGGTATCTATGTATAAGCAACGTTCTGTGCTGCTGCGTCGAAGAATAAAAAACGTACAGCAATAACCAACACCTTCTCTGCCCGATCCATTGGACAAGTTTCTTTCATTGTTTTTTATACGTATGTGTTCATATATTTACATATATATACACAGATCAAGATTAGTGTCATCGAAATTTATTATGGAGGGTCGGCTTACTGAGCACAGCAGCGCGTTATTTGTTTTTTATTATTTTGTCCTTTCTTGAAAAATTATAATTAAGCGTTCAGCAGTATTTTGGCGTTTATAGAGAGAAAAGTTGCGTATAGGTACCTATATCCAGATTTTAAAAGCTATAATACATATTTGAGTTTTTAACTACAAATGAAAGAATTTACCTAAAATTGTAAAATTATTGTTTACCTACTTGCTCCAGAATTACATCTAAATCAGTATATTTTTGCTAGTTGTATTGTTTGTGATGTTTGATACGGTCGTCCTGTTGCCGCGCCTGAGTGTCCTGTCCCGTCATTCGGTTCGTTTCTCTAATCACACCGTAAAAGCGAAACAAACAGCAGCTGTGCCCGATGAAAAGACTAACCAGCCTTTAAATTGAATCATTACCGGGAGGAGTGCAAACACTACGCCCTCCCAATTGTGCTATATTGTAACTCGTACCGCAGGCCTATTTCCTGCGTGCTGCCCTTAATAACAAACCAAGTGTGCATTTATATGTATGTCTACGAGTTTGCCAGCCAACATGCTACAGCTACGGTTACAGCTAACTGTTAGTTTATACCTCCCTTTATTCTTTCGCCCCTTCTCGCACTTATTATTATTATTATTATTATTAGGGGGGTAGTGCGACGATGAAACACACGGTCTTTTAGGATGATACTCTAAACTTAATTAAACTATTATCTATTCGATTGCATTTGTCAGTGTTTGACTGCTTAATAATCATGTCCTTGATACCAATATTCGAAAAGAGACACATTCTTCGAGTCCAACATTACTTAGGTACGGTAAATAGAGACCAAATTGGTCTAAACATTCAAAATTCTGGTTAATTTCAAAATGTCCAAGAAAATCCTTGTACCAACTATCTATTGGGCATTACGCTGATCTGTGGATTTGAATGTTTGACGCCTTGACTTTCGACGTTTATGTAAAACAGTCTATTTTTTCGCCCTGTAAGTACATTTTTTATGTCGATACCGTTAAATAAATGGAGAGCGTTCGTGGTCACAAAAATGTTTATATACGCGATTGGACGGGTCTGTGTGTTCTGTATGCGTATGCACCTTCGTCTAATACCCGATTACACAGCCTGCCGTCTCTCCTCTGAACCATTTCCCTATCAATTTCCACCACATTTCGTTCCCCTTACAAAAACTGTTACTCTGTAATGCCTCTTTTATAGTGCTCGTTCTTCAGGCAGGACTTATAAAGGCAAAAGGCGGGGTGCCTTCGCGGAACGACCCTAAATAATCCGTCAACTAATGGAAAACTACCCCTCGGGTGCAGCACGCATGTATAGCTTTTGTCCGCGCGATTGTATTTGATAAAACTTATATACATATACCTAATACATATAATTCATGTTATATCTACATATTTACGTATGTATGTGTATTCACAGAATCACACACACACACACACATATAAGTAATAACGGAGCATAACAGTTACTTTTGTGCAGTGAAAGTTTGGACGAACCGCGACGTTTCGGATAAGGGTGCGAATGCAGAGGAAGGTCCGGTAGTAGATTTTATGATTAGGGGGTGCCCTCTTACCATGCATTCGTGCGTGTTATTATTTATACATTGATATGCACCAACAGTTAAAAACTTATGAATATTATTATTCTTGATAGTGATGATCTAAGGTTGCTAGTTTTTATCAAGCGCATAAGTAGGTAGATACGTATATTTAATTTCGTATTTTTTTTTTGCGTTAGCAATGAAACAAATCGGTATTGAATGGTGCATTTATTAACGTAGAGAAGGGTGATTCTGTCCTAGAACATTTTTATTTTTGTAACAAAACATCAAAAGTAACCAAGTGCCGCGTAACATCTCGAGGAGGAGATAAGATTTAGATACAACGCCGAGACTGCCATATACCCGAGGGACTTTATGTTTTGTTAATGGGGATGTCAGTGTTACCATGGCGACTCGCAACATCCATCCAGCCAAGCTTTATCGTTGGCGAGCTGCGGCCTTCCTTTACAACGATTGCGCCTTGTTCTTTTTATCAATTTGTGTACGCGAAGCGAAAAAATATTTTATCACAAACTTTACATTGGATATCATTTACCATTATTTCATTTTAGGTAACTATAACTAATGAGCTACTTTGTGATTTGCAGTAACCATTTGTGCCTTCGAAAAAATTGAGATTACTCTATGAATCATTAGATAAATCCAATAACTGCAACCTTTAGATACCGTAAGCACACTGACACGAACACTCAATCAGTGGAACAGTAACACACGGGTCAACGAAATAATACCTACATTTAAAAGGAACTAATTTGGTCTCGTCAGAATTGCCTCACCACATGAAAATTTTTAAATATTCCAATCTTCTCAAAACTCATAAACACAATTTCTGTTTTCTTTTTTTAAAGGATTAGGGAAATATGTATTACAATCTGGCCTCATTATTGCTCAACACACTTGAAGATTTTAACTTCCAAGTCCAAATTTTGCTAATTTGGCTTGCTTGGATTTTAGATTAGGAGATTTTGTGATAGCAGTTAGGCGCGTAGGTTACAAGGGGAATTGGTTGATTTTATTTCTTCCAGGTTTGGTTCAAGAACCGTCGGGCAAAATGTCGACAGCAATTGCAGCAACAACAGAACAAACCTTCACCTAGAACGCCGACAACACCAACGAAAGCTAAGGGTAGCAAGCCCTCGCCCGTGATACCAGTGACAAGTTCTACAACGACCAATAACATACCCCCCACGCCCTCTTCGTCGGTATCACCTTCTTCAACGACCATCAACATCAAGAAGGAATCTCCTCAATTATTGAACACTTATCGCAGCACCAACGGAAACGTGACACCCGTCGGAAGCAACACGAGCAGCGTGATAGCGACTCCGTCACCTCCGATAACGCCATCGAGTAACACATCGCTCTCTTATCAGCACGATTCTTTCAACACATTCAATTGGCACACAAACGGACACAGTCCGCCACCTCATCATTATTACGGGCAAAATTACAACGCCGCCTATTACAGCCAAATGGAATATTTCAATCAACAGAACGGACAAAATCAGATGCAAATGGGCAACCACATGGGTGGCGCTTATCAAATGGGCAGCTACTCGATGACCATGGGTATGAGTGCCGGACACCATCAGAACTTCAGTCCGAGGCATCCGGACTGCAGTCTCGACTACATGAACCAAATGGTTTAGCCGGTAAGACTTACCGCTGCTGTCGTATCTCGTTTTATTTAAATTATTATTATTGTCTTGGACGACACGCGCCATATCATCCACCTTCTTTTTATGTTCTTTAACGCTATGTATCTACTCACATGGATACTTATATTATCATAAAATGATTTTTATTATTAATATTATTACCTATACATAATAATATCGTATTATGTAAATAAGTGACAATGTAATTGAAATGCTGACAATGCAAGTGTTAGTACAAACAAAATGTGTGTGAGTGCATGTGAGCATGCCGTTGCGTTGTATGTGTCTGTGTACATAATAGGTGAGTATATGTAACATGCATGCATATCAGCATTCACAACCGATTGTGAAACACACGTAACTAAGCAATATACAGGAGCGCGGAAATCGTGTCCAAGATGTACCATTGAAAATATTTTTTTTATTATTTTTTTATTACTTACTCTAGCCGTAAGTTGAGCATACCTAAGCCAAATTTTTTAATTAAATTCGGAAAAATTTTCAATCCAGAGAATAGTCATACCCAGGTAGGTGCGGTAGGTACTTTTTCGCAACTGTATATTACTTATACTGTGATAGAGTGATGTGCGAAACTTGAACCCTTTTTATATGTAAATACAAAACAAATCAGTGAACTAATTATTGAGCCTAAATGTATTATACGTAGTCGATAATTATTATTATTATTATTATTAAGGTGATGACGAGTAAATGTACATAATATACATATATGTATTAACTTCACTGTATAGCAAGAGTAACAAAGTCTATACACCCTCATAGACGACAGTATGTTTTATATTTTATTTACTTTTCCCTTTAATTATTGTTATTATGTTGTCATTGATTATTCCTTGTCCGACTATTAAAATTATGTGTCAATTTGAAATTTATTATTATTTATTATGAACAAAAAATAGTTCAACTTTCGATTCCCGAACTATAAGTAACGTATAAATAAATAGATATTACTAAAACTTATAAATTACCTCAGTCTTCTATTAGGGAAATAGAACCAGTTTCTACAAATATTGGTCGAATGTAATGCAAATGTGTAATAAAGTAGAAATACATATTTACAATACGTGTTGCGTCTCATTTACATTTTTCATCGTTCATTATTAGGTACCCATCGAGCGTTTGCACACCGAGTGATATCGCGACGATTACCGCACGCTGTAAATCGTATCGTCTGCATGCTCGCACAGTATTGTTTACCTTCGACAACAGTGCTACAATTTTGTACTGTTGCGAGATTTTAATGGTACAGTATCGTACCCCGACAGCGTGAAGCATATCGAAGAGTATTCGTTTTGATATTCGCGTCACATCGCGACGATAATTTGCGCCGCTATCGCGTAATATATACAAACACCCTTACGCTATATCAGTACCAATTTCATCGAGAGCAAGAAAAATAGAGGTAAGTTTAAACTTTATTACTTATTGCTGTTATAGTTAGAAAATTTTATATTTTGATGAGTATTTCTTGTCACCCCACGTTAGCGAGCTATGGTTGTAACATTAAACTGCCCGACGCACGGTAGTGCTAGCAATCGATAAGTGTGTGTACATGTAGGTACGTACTATCGCATAAGACAAGAACAATCGAACTTTTTGTAAGGTTGCATTACCGAGTGGTCGTTCCACGCGACGGCACGTGTCTTTAACCAATATTATTCGCAAGCAGATTCAATTCCACGTCACGTGTACTATTCATTAGCCTGGACACGTGCCACTCTTTACTCTCTAATAGATGGCCCTCAGTGCGTGTCGCAGAAATTAGATCTTGATTTCTTTTGCATGACAAGCGGCAAATCGAACCAGAACGTACAATTGTTACGCATTGATTAATCGCAAGTCTCAGTACAGTGATGTTATGCCCATCTAACACACGTACATGTATTAGATACATTACATGTACCTATACATATTTACATACATACATCGAATTAGAAGTAAAAAACCAAACACAGACTATTCAACTCGGTCGCAAAAAAAATGTCAGTTACACAAATAGGCAATTAAGTAATTATGAAATTCAATGGATACAAAAATTAAAAGAAGAAAATGGTTAAAAATATTCAATACTGATTTTGCAAAGGAAATTATTGCCTGTCCATTTACAGGTTGTAGTGTTAAATAAGAATGATATGATTGTATTTTATTTCTCATTTTTCTGATATTTTTGTGACAATTGGCTATCGATTTTTTGCTACCTGCCCTTACTATTATAGACACTATTACTACCGGTAAAAGAACCATTGTGAAATGGGCATGTGTATGCATACAAAGGAAGGAACTCCCACATATTTCATGTCAGAGTTAGCGTGATCTACATTCAGAACCGAAAAATTTTATTGTCCGAAAATAAAAAGCGTCGGGGGTAGGTGGAAGCGTGTAGTTCGAAATCCTACAGGAGCGCATTCACTGAAATAGATATAGAAAATAAGGGCGCATTTATAATTCGGACACAAAGCTAGCTAGAATCTTTTCCGACAAACAAAAAACTAAACGAATTTGATGAAAGGTGTGTACACATGTGTATGCGTCCATCAATGATTTCTTTATTAATCGAAATACCCTGTGAAAGGAATGATAATAGCTCATCCTTAAACAGGAAGTTGAAATTGAAAATTGCGATCAATAGACTTCTGAGAACGACAATAAATAATAGCCATCAGTTGGAACAGCATTTAAAATTCTGGATCCTGAATATTAACTTATAATTATCCTGACTTAAAGAAAAATTTAAATCCACAAGCATTCGACTACATACAATTCAAGACGTTACAAAATTATACGACGTTTTTATTCACTGATGCTAAATATCTATTATCTATATCTACTTTGTCCAAATGGAAAGCTTTTTTTCTCTCGGCGATCATGATTGTCAAATTACTTAACTCGAGAAAATTTCACATGAAAAATAGCATATGCCCCAGGAGAGGAAATACACGTGGAGTATGAGAGATTCTTGAACTTTTCTTGGATTCTATGGAACATAAAATCATGGTTCATGCATAAAGAAGAAGCTGGCAACGTCCCTGTTGTTAACGCTTCCCCGTAAATTGACTTTAAAATTTTAGGTCCAATTTCAGGTTCGGAAATTATGAGAGGAATACTTTTCTAAATATGATGATTAGGAAAACTACAGATCCGTTATATAAATAAAACACATAAAATTTGAAAACGGAATCGGCAGCATTGATGATCATCACACAATCAATCAACCAAACAAGAATGAGAAAAGATAAAGGCGGGGTGAGTAAGTAGATTGTATTGTTCGTAAGAGTGTGTCGAGGTATTACAATTAGTAGGGACAGTAGCATGCTGTGACGACGGATTAGGTGTGGCAATCAGAATCCTTCCTTTACTTGTATGTTTGTTTGAGCGATGTGTGTGTGTGAGATGTACGGGTATAACCAATGTGTAGATACGAAGATGGTTCAACCCTGCAGACAATTCAACCATTGCTTCACCATTTATCGCTTGATGCAACTTTTGCTACTTACTGGATTATTATTTTTTTATCAAAAGACGATCATGACGAAATAAAGCACTGCAAACAATTTTAAGTCCTGCTGCTGTTGCAGAAACGAAAGCATCAGTCGTATACTTGGTTTGAAATTGAAAAAAAATCAAAGAAAAGAGAAAGTTGTCAATTTTGCATTCTGTAGACAACAAAAAAAAAGCCCATGGTGTAGAAACTTTTGAAACTACCTACGTGCTTAAGATAAATAGCGTACATATATTATTATTAATCAATTTTTGTATAGATACCTATGCAGGATAAGCATCCGGATGATAAAAAAGGAGTTTATAATGTTTGTGTATTGGAAGAGTAGTAGTTGGAGGGTGCACGTGGCACTAATAGAGATATCTAGTTAGCTGCAAAGTGGAACTCTTATCGGGGTGTGTGCACTCTGATTTTCGTTTCCCGGCGAGTATGTTTGCCCCTTACCACATCGTTGTCGTCCATTTGAATCGTTAAGATAGCAGACAAGCGTAAAAGGGGCCGTCGATGATGAAGCAATCTTCAATGATAATAATTTGTCATCTTTTTCTGTATATACATTGGTACCTATTAGGTATATTGTCCTGCGTTATATTAAATTCTGTGCCTGTTGCTCATATGTAAATCGAAAATAACAAAATTATAAAATAAAATTAACCCCATTATCTAGAAAATAATATTGTAAAAATATAAATGCGTACATACGTGTGCCTTTCGGTAATAATCGATGAGTTTCTCCTTATGATATATGATAATTTGCGCAAATTGGCGAAGCAAGTCAAGTTGACAATAAAATATTGTGGAAATTACAGTCGTTCTAACTTTAATTTTTCCTCCTCTAAAGTTATACGAATCTTAAAAATTTAATAAACGTCCTGCGAGAAAGCTTTTCGTACTTTATTACAACATGTGGGGCTGCTCCAGAAAGAGCTTTGATCATTTCGCTCACTTGACGTTGTGGATTTTAAAGAGCTACTCAACATAAAATTCAACACTCGATTTTCATTATTAAAAGTCACGCAGCACGCACTACCCCTTTTTAAACAAACAAGTCTAAAGAAGGTAAGTAAGTATTGAAACCCGAACGAATTCGTACTTGTAAATATCGGCAATTTATAGCTGGCTTTTGTTGGTCTTCGTTCTTTACTATTTCCATTTATCAACCTATAAAACAATCGATTACCATAAAATTTTTACACGACCATCAAAATTATCGTTAGCTATATGTATGTCTGCCTAATTGTACATCTGATGGTTTTTATCACAATAGCCGCAGGTATCGATCTTTCTTTGTTAGGAGGCAAAAACCTGACGATGCAGTATACGTATTAGCACAGATTCATAGAGGGGGATGAGACATCATGTCGAACAGAACGTTTTGCAAAAGGCAAAAGACTAATAGCGCATCATTAACGTTATCATACTAGCAATCGAACTGATGTTGGCCTCATCTTCACCCCCTACCCTATAATGTTTAATACAACAATGCAATTAAAGGGAATTTCTGCTTATTAATCCGCTACCTACTACAAAGTGCACGTAGAAACCCCGTCTGTTAACGATTTCCTGCACTGATTATGTGTACGTTATCGTATATTGATATTGCGAGTACATCTTACATACCTAAATATAAATATTTCGATAGACATACGTAATTAGTTGCAGACAGATGTAAATTACAAGTTTGTGCTTCAGAATACTTACTTTAACTTGTGGAAATTTACTCTGGTAATTTTTCTTTATGAGACATACTCTACATTAATACGATATAGTCGCGGGTATAGCAGACTGCATCATATACCTAATACATTAAAATAATTTGATTTCGAACAGATTAAACTGTCAGTGAAATCGGGGAGTCCAATTTCATCAACAAGTTTCTGATGTATCAGGCTTCTTTGTCCGTCACTAGAATATCAGGTTTCATTGACTTTATCTGTCACACCTTACACCCCAACAAGAGACGTTAGCAAAGACATAATCCAACAGCACACAAAAGACGCTCGTCATTCTCCGATAGATTAACGCAGATTATCGCATAAATATGTAGGTGCACCTACAAAATATTTTAGTGCATGTGTGTGTTTGGAGACAGACGAAAAATATTTGTCCGTTTCATCTCAAGGAATTTCTGCCTCTTCTATCATCAAAATGCACTTTTTTTATAGAGAAATTTATAATTATAATAAGTGCCGCGTACCTACGTATATTACGGGACATTATTATAAACACTTATCTATGATGTATGCAAGTCATCATTTTGAAGCATCAAATAGGTATAGTGGCCCAAACTGTCTAGATTTTAAACATGTAGATATCTGGATAATTCAATTTTGATATCGGCGCGCCTTTTGGAAAATAATTTTCCGTTATTATAGGTTATGGTACTTATTAAATAGACTGATCAGATAGTAAATCGATTTCAAATTGAACGGATTATAAAATTATTAATGCTTGCACGACTTTATCCAAAACTGTTTATATTTATTGTTAATTAAATGAATTATTGTGTATAACAGCGAGGTATATAGATTCACAGTCGAAAGTGTCGCTAAAGACATTTCCTCCGCCTTATTTTATTTATTGCTTTTTACTTACGCTTAGCTATATACGTACTATTGACAGTGGTTGCGATAGTTACAGAAACAAGTTCAAGTCCGACTGAACGAATTTAAGAAAAATTCATCAAAAGCACAATGCAACAGAGTGAGGGAAACAATTAACAAAATCGGAAGGGAGGATTAGCCACAGCTACACGTGCCCATGCATCCCTCAAACTGATAATTATTTCCAAGTCGAGGCCTTCTATAACATTTGTTCATTTTGATAAAGGACGCGCCNGTAATATAATATGGACACGTATTTATCTAGGTAAATCAACTAACCATTTATACAATTTTTATTTTAGAATTTCATTCGAAATCGTATCAGAAATTAAAAACGTAAATTCTTGGAAATATTCTGTAAAATACGAAGAACGTTTATCACATTGGCCTTACGTAAGGAACTATGCAACTGCTAACATTGTCACTGATTTCAATTATTCTGATGACATCCATTTTATAAATTCTACCCATCGCACATGCTTCTTAAAGAACACATTCTGCCGTAAGTAAGCTTACAAATTTCATTTATTCACGTGCATACACAATTAGTAGATTTTTTATTTTCTTTCAGTTGAATCAAAGGGAACGTTTCTAATACATTCGAACCTTCTGAATTCCGTAGTTTGTAAAGAACACGTGATCTATCAATGTCCAATATTCATGTCGCTTCTTTGTTTACGGGAAGTAGTTTACCAAAGGAATCATATTTTGGGAAATTTGAAGAAACATTTTGATAATTAACATGTGCGGGATAATGTACTTAATGAGTATACTTGTAATAAAAAAGGCAATCAGATTGCTAATTGTTATTTTTATTAATTTATACTTGAGTTACTTAAGTATAAAAGCATATAAATATGTAAGGTCCACCAATCGAAGTACCACGAAAATTGCCTAGTCGTCATAAATGTTATTTTTTAACGTGTATGTATAATATTAATAAATACTTATATTTTTACGCTTTACTCGTAGAATTTGTTTCGGTGTTTGTCGATTGATTATCAGAAACAGATTTTTCGTTAATTGCGAGCCATGGAAGACGCTTTTGCAACTCCAGCCTAAAATCAACCATCACACAAACGACCAAACCAGAAATATATAATGATAAAGACTGTAAAGCTGACGACGTTAACAATATTTTACCTGTATCTGGGATGACTTAGCGCATAGACGTAAGGATCCAGACAGGCAACCAATTTACAAGTACATGCTGGAATCATGGCAAAACCTGGCGTTACCATGTTCTGATCCCCGAACGCCCCAATCATCGCAAGAACAGCGTAAGGTGTCCACGAGGCCACAAACAAAAAGCAAATCGTTATTGCCACTTTTGCGATACGTACCTCGGCCGATTGGTTTTGTTGCTGTTGATTACTCCTTAACGAATCAACGTTCATTTTTTTTGCCTACAAATTCCACATTAAAATCCATTCGCCTACTGCACTAATTGTTTATCGACGTCTATCTTTAATCTACGCAGAGTAGAACCATCGTACTATACCTGTTCTCTCAGCGCCTTTTCGTGATCGAAAACGTGACTCACTATCTGACTGTAATAGTATATGATCGACGTCATGGGTAAAACATATGAAAATGTAAACAGAACTGCAACGAACATTCGAGTATCGAATGTTCTTGTCAAATAATCAAAAGTGCACTGAGTTAGAAATCCCTCTGGAAGATGAATTGTATTATATCGTAGTAAGTAAGTAAGTAACGGGTGACTACTCATTTTTGGACCATACCTGGAACAAACCTTCCCCAAAATTCCATCAGGGGCAAAACAGCCCATGGTATAACATATATCCAAACGAAAATAATCATAACGAAAGCCTTTGTTCTAGTCAATTTGCCCTCCAACGGATTGGCAATTGTATGATAGCGATCGTAAGCGATACAAGCGTTCGTCATTCCTGCACCAATTCCCGACAGTGTTCCCATGACAGCAAACGCCTGACAAGCCGTGTAACCCAACGTGTATCCGCGATGGAAAGAATTGTAAATAAATATGGGCGTTTTTAACATCATCAAAAAATCGCAGAAAGCCAAATTGACAACAAACATATTCGAAGGAGTTCTCAAACTCTTTGCGCTAAAATCCGACGGTAGAGAAAAACGTTTTCTAACAAATGATGCGAACACAACACCACTTACGTAGAAAATATCCACAATACCAGGCCATTTCCGAAGGTTGACATGAAAAACAAAGCGACATAAAGGAGCCCTAATAGAAAGTGGATGGACGCTTCGGGTTCAGGAAACTTCAACCAGTGCTCAGGAATATGTCCCAACTCGGAAGCCGGTATATTCCAACCTAGCAATCGGTTACCAGGATCCATTACTCTACAAGAGATAACTTTGTGACGCCAATATCACCTTACCAAAAAGTAGATACAAATCATATTTTCATCACTTACCGCGCCCGGGGTGAATTAACTACGGTCCAATTTGCATAGTTCATTTCGGGGAGTAGAGCTAAAAGATGCACACCTCTAACTAACTGTTTATCTAGCCAAACATTCGACTTTAAATAGGGACAATTTTAATTGAATTAATTAAACGCTGATCAAATTATCGCAACGAATCCCCGTTAATTTTAAGGTTGTGCAAAATCGATAACAAATTTTTAATTTGATTAAAACCGAAAATAAAAACACGTACCTAATTAGGAAGGATTTTTGCTTAATCCTAATCAAGGACTAATTAAATGTACTATCATACGCATATCGCTAAACATTGCCTTTCCCGAAGTTTCTTTATTGTACTAGACTAAACGTGATACTAACAAAAAAATTATAAAGTAAATCCTCATTCTGATTAAGATTATTCAATTTATCGAGTGGAAATATCGCCAATGGCAACCGTTGCTATTTAATATTAAATATCAACAAATAAAGCTCTTGTCATCATAGTCGGTGCATTTATTGTGGTCGAGGAAAAGTACAATATTCACAAGATGGATTTTGATCACGAATCTTCAAAAAAGGGGTCTAGAGCTACAGAATCGACCTTAGACGATTTGTCCAAGATGCTCGACAGTCCCGCGCAGAAAGTGAGCAACAAATACGTCTGCACACCCCCAGAAACGTTTACTCGGTTAGTTTTTCCATTACTGTATTTTTTCTTGTCGACATTTTTCGATCTGCTACGATCAAAATTTATTGTTTATAATAATTCGAACGAACTTGTTACCATTACAAAAGGATCTACTCACTTCGTTAAATAATTGCCGGATTGCACTACGTTATAACAGCAGCAATTTTATTCAATAAGTTTGATTGTGCATTTTTGTTGGTACTAATAAGTACTACGATATTTACAAAAACAAAATTTACTTTTTTCCATGGCAATCACCGAATGTTTTTTATTAATCCAACCAGATATCTATTTTTTAAAAATTAATTTTATTCTAGAAAACCTGATACAATTCCTTTTCACGTTCCGCATAAAAAACTTCTTGAGAAAATCGAATATCAAAAACCAATCCCCGAACCACTGGTAAGTTAATACGATAAGAATAAACGCATCGAAAATGTGCAAATGATACATACTTAGATGCGATAATACAAAAGTGTACTATGTGTATCCTATATCGGTCATTTTTTCCGTTTCAAGACTGGTTTCGATGAACGACAGCAAGCTATACTTAGGAGAAGGAGAAGAAGAGAAAAAATTTCACAAGAGAAAGATGAAGGAGAAACAGCCGCGAAACGTAAGACCATTCATAATTGAAATTTATCAAAGAACAAATAACGTTATAGAGTGTTCGTAGTTAATTTAATTTTTGTATTAATTATTATATAAAACACCTTCAAACATCTAATTTTACCCTAAGCAATAGTCTCCAGTAGGCACCACTTATGTATTAAATACACCAAAGAAAATAAGAATCAAAATCCAAGAAACTAATCGATGTATATTCTATACACGTATGTATATGTAACAAAAGTGCCGCTAAAGCTCCTCAATCGAACCTCGCAGCCTCACATGGGTTATATGGTGTGATAACCTTCCGTCCCTCGTACATGAAGAAGGTTTCGGTTTCAAAGATATGTATAAGGGTTAAAAGACTATCGCCCCAAAGGGCTCCACATAGAGAGTCGGTAATATAACGATCAGAACGTTACAGAAGGTCACGCATAAAGTCTTTGCAATTTTCCAGAAGGTTCGAGAACGTTCCCGAATGACAATTAACTTTTCCTGAGCGAAGCGAGGGTCATCTGCTGCTCGTATAAAAATAAAATTGTAGCGTTTAACTTTTTAAAATGAAAATGTACTTTTGTATTGTTAAATAGCCACCGTTACCATGTTTCTCAAACTTTAGAAAAAATTATAATCTGCAAAAGTAATGTAATAGGTAATAAAAAACTACAACATTTTAGTAAAAAAAGGAGGCGTTCGTTTCATCGGAGAAGAAGCCGAAAGCGAGTCTAATACGGAATCGATTTCGACGGGGGCGAGCGATATTGTTTTGCCTCATCATAAAGTAAAGGGTGTTGTTAAGCAAAAAGACCTGATAAATCAAATGCGAAACACTGTCGACGGATCGTTTGTCTACATGGTTTACGCCGTTCCCAGGTCGTCAGAAATGTTCACCCCGTATGCCTTAAAGTACGTCGCTATATTACCACCTATCACTATAAAACACAGTAAAACATTCAAATTGACCAAATAACTTTTAGATTAGTAGAATACGAGAATGTGGAAAAGACGAACTTTTTGACGATGAGTTCGCATGGCGTGACTCAGTTTATTTGTGGAGAAATGTCCTTCACTAATTTAAACAAATGGGAAGAGGAATACGACACGTATTGTCGTTTAATGAGAATCAAATCGTTCTTTTATTTTCGAATGTGGAAAGCGTATTACGTTTGGCGAAAAGGAATAATTTTTCGAAAATATACTTCTGCAAGGACCGCTTTAGAAGGCAATCTTTTTTACACGAACGCACATTTACGAGAAGCACTCCTCAACATACAAAATATGTGCTTCACAATGATCGAAACCAAATTCTGCGATCTCTCCATTGTAGACAACTTTTACCTATTTTACTTCATAGAAGCGCAGGTTGGTCAGAAATAATTATAAAATATATATAGTAAGTTTCTTTGCTTAATTTAAACTTACGATTACAAACGATCAGATGAAGAAATTGGAAACGGTCCAGAATAAATTAAAGGATTTCAAAGTGATTGTAGGAGAAATTTTAAACAACGGATGCCATGGTGCTTTACTATCCAAAGGCTTTGTCGTTGACGAAACCGTTTTGGAAGGTGAAATCGTTCTTCCATGATCCACTTTAATCTGTCTTATGCATACTCAAACTATTTTACAGATAAAAAAAGTCGATCGAAAGGAGCAAAACTGTCATACATTGAGCAAGCAAAAAAGAAAAAATTTTGTATTCGGCTTACATGGTAAATTCGGATGCACATCTACCGTTTGTTTTCTTTATCTATTATTGTTTTCTTTTGTTCGACAGTTTCTTAATATTGGCCGATTATTTAATGATAAATATGCTCCACCATTTACTCGTGAGTTCAGTGGAAGCTTTTCTAAATATGTTAAAAATGCATATGAAATTCCTGCCAAGTGATGAGACTCTCGAATCCATGGACACGTCTGCAATTATGGAAACTGGCAGACCACGAGAGTATCCACAGGTTTCCAAACAATAGACGTTAAACATTCTAACCGATCTTACTTTATTTTTTACCGTAGAATCCTTTGGTGTTGCTGGACATCACGGTTTCCGCCGACGAAATAGGTCTTGATCCTCCCCAACAAATAACCAACTATATTTTCGATCAGTTGCTCACATTATGGACGGAAAGCGTGTTAAATGTAAAATTGTTTATCCAGGAGAAAACGTACAAACCTTTTACCAAGTGAGTGATGACCGCATGCCCCCTGCAACAGTAATTTTATTGTTTCTATTTTCACTTGTAGTCCAATGATCAACGGCAAAATTGAAGACAGATTGTGCGGCGACGGACCTCCTTTGGGTTTCTATTTAGAAAACGACTTACACTTGCAAACTATAAACAAGGAGATTTTTGAATGCATCAAGGTAAGTTACGATGCCGCCTTCATTTACATGAAAAGACTGGAAACCATTAGGGAATTTTATGCGGAAGATACACAAAAAACGAGAGAGAGCATCGTTGAGGAAAGAAGTAATACGTGCATGACGCACAAAAGCAACCTTTATGGTCAATTTTTAAAATTCAGGTTTGGAGGAGATTCGTAAAATGTGCGTAAGATACAACACTGAGCTCGAAACAATTGCTAACGTTGTTAATCAGCAGCGGCTGGGTTTGTTTTATTTACAACAAGAAACTTTCAAGGCAGGAGTATTACCTCAACCCAAACGACTTATAGAAATACTTGAGGAGGTTTTACCAATGTTAGTCAAATTTTATTTATCCTCTTCAAACTACGCACTATTATTTACAATGTCCAATAAAATAATAACACACCTATCTAGGATCGGAAAAGACAAAGTGGATAAACTAGCCGAGGAAGTAGAACAGGCTATGGAATTTTTAAATAATACAGAACCGTCGAGTACTGAAGAATATGTCGAGTATTTGGAGTTTTTAGAACTTGCTCCCGAAAAAGCAGACACCATGGAAGCAGAAGTGGATTATTGCAAGGAATTGTATGATATAATGGAAGAATTTCACATTCCTGTACCTCCCGAGGATATGTCGAACTATTTAGGATTAAGCGTCACGATGGGCACATTTAGAAACTCGCTCGATAGGAAAATAGAAGAGAAACCAAAGATTATGAAAAATTTCGCAGAACAAATGAACAAGGACATAAGTAACCTAATATCTGAAGCAGGACAAATCAAAGACAAATGTTTGGTAAGCATATGCTTATTATAGGATAAGTACGTAAATATCCCCATCCCATATCTTAACTTGATCGACGTTGTAGCAAGAGTGGTTGTACGATATAAACTCAAACATAGAAGAAGTGTTGGCATTTTTAAACCAACTGTATGAAGAATTGCAAGGTTGTATACAGCGTGCAGGAGAATTTAAAAATTACCAAAAGCAATTCAAAGTAAGTCGCCCACTGATTACGTGCCAACATAACAACTTATGTTTTATGTAAATTAACAATGAAAAATACATTCATTAAAATAGATGGAAGTAACTAGATTCGACATGCTTGATGAAGTAATGAACGATTTGAAATTGAGAATGCTTTTATGGGAAAGTGTGGACACCTGGGCTAAAATCGTAACAGAATGGTACACTGTGGAATTTTCTACCTTAGACGTGGACGATATGAACATAACGACCGCTAAATATTTAAAAAACGTCGCACAATTAGAAAAAGGCCTCCCGAAAAATCTTATTGTGCCGAAATTAAAGGAAGACGTTGAAAGAATTAAAGACAAGGTAAAAAGAATTATAACGAAACACCCATCGTAACGACTATATTCCATTCGTTTAACCCTTCTCTTAATGAAAACAGCTCCCTATTGTTGGCTATTTGAGAAACCCAACGTTAAAGCAACGACACTGGTTGAAAATAGAAGGAGTACTAAATCACAAATTTAAGACGGACGAAGTTGTTACATTGCAATCCTTGGAAAATTTACGTGTATTTGAATTTCCAAACGACCTAATGGAAGTATCTGCTCAAGCAAGTAGCGAAGCAGGCCTAGAAACGCTTTTAAAAAAGGTAGTTACGCGAAGTGATTTTTGTTGAATGCCCAGTTCATTTGTCATTTTCCAGGTCGAAGAAGCGTGGAAGACGCTGGAATTCATCGTCATTCCTCACAAAGACTCAAAAGACGTTTTCATTTTGGGCTCGACCGAAGACGTCCAAGCAGTACTGGACGAGAGTAATATAAATATGACTACCATAGCAAGTTCGCGCCACGTTGGTCCAATCAAACCTCGCGTAGACGAATGGCTAAGGTTTCTGGATCACTTCACAAGAGTCTTGGCATGTGCTACGTTTAAAATATTCATTTAGCGTAACAAAATAAAACTGAGAAACGCTTTTACAGGACGAATGGCTCATGTGCCAGCAAAGCTGGGTTTATTTGGAGGTAATTTTTTCCGCACCTGATATCCAGAGACAATTACCGAACGAAGCAAAAATGTTTTTGGTCGTCGATAAGGCCTGGAAAGAACTTATGAGACGCACGGCTAAAGTAATTTTACAAAATGACCACCTAGTAGAGTTGCCTAACGTTTTTTTCCTCTTATCGCTAGATGCCATTAGCCATGGAGGCCGCCACGTTCCCGGGAATGTTGGAAACGTTGCAAAAGAACAATGCGCTTTTGGAGCAAATCATGAAATGCTTGGAATACTATCTGGAAACCAAAAGGGTCGCGTTCCCACGTTTCTACTTCCTATCGAATGACGAACTGCTAGATATCCTTGCTCAAGTAAGCGGACACTTGTAACACATACGAAAAGTAAACGCGGCGATAAAAAAAATACAATGTTTATACCGTAGACCAAAAATCCTCACGCGGTTCAGCCACATCTACGAAAATGTTTTGACGCAATTGCGAAATTGGAATTTGGAGTGAAGGAGGGAACGGCAGAAGGTGAAGGTCCAGTTCTTACGACCGACATAATGGCAATGATAAGTCCGGAGGGCGAACGGATAGCGCTCGGCAAAGGCTTAAAAGCCCGAGGAAACGTGGAGGATTGGCTCAAAAAGGTTGAGGAGTCTATGTTTATTTCACTGTACAAAGTAATGAAGTTCGGCCTGATGGATTACCAGTTGAAAAAGAGAGAAGAATGGGTCCTGTTGCATCCCAATCAAGTCGTGTTAACGATCTCACAAGTTATGTGGGCCAAAAGTGTTCACAAGATCTTGGACTTTTCTAAAAACATGGACAACGATATGGCCGTTTTTGAACGTAAATGCATTGCGGTAACGTGTCGTTTTTTAATTGGTATTCTTTTAGTTTCAAACGGTTGTTCTTTTTTAAGGACCTCAACCGATTGGCTGGCCTAGTGAGACTGGATCTGGACAAGGTGGTGCGAAAAGTACTGATTGCTTTGATCACAATCGACGTCCACGCCAGAGATACCATATCCAGCATGGTGAAAAATAAAGTGAAAGGAAGGTACAAATTATGACAACCATTTTGTTTCCTCAATTTCCACACTTAATTGTTCCTCGATCCCCTTCCTTTTCAATAAGTTATTTAATTGGATTTGGCTTCGGCCCCCACAATAATACGTATTTCATTTCCTCGCTAATCCTTCCTTAATTATACATACCTATAAGTAGTGGCAATATTTTTCATCCGGCACATTTTACACTTAGCCAAGATTTCGAATGGCTAAAGATGTTACGATACTATTGGCAAGAGGATATCGATAACTGTCTGGCAAAAATGTCCAGCGCTGTTTATGTATACGGCTATGAATACCTAGGAGCGTCGGGAGTTTTGGTAATAACTCCATTGACCGACCGTTGTTATCTCTGTTTAATGGGGGCCCTTCAATTGGACTTAGGTTGTATCGAATATCGAATACACTAATAAATAAAAAAAAACGAATAAATGCAAATTTGTCAGGAGGCGCGCCTGCTGGCCCAGCAGGGACCGGCAAAACAGAAACAACGAAAGACTTATCGAAAGCTTTGGCCATTCAGTGTGTTGTTTTCAATTGCTCCGAAGGTTTGGATTATAAAATTATGGGTCGATTCTTTGCCGGTCTAGCACAATCGGGATCGTGGAGTTGTTTCGACGAATTCAATCGCATCGATATCGAAGTCCTATCGGTCATTGCTCAACAAATTATTACAATTCGTAACGCCAAAGCTGCGAAACTGAAGAGGTTCATGTTCGAAGGGAGGGAAATAAAACTGGTTCAGACGTGCGCAACTTTTATCACAATGAATCCCGGCTACGCCGGACGTACTGAACTACCGGACAACTTGAAAGCTCTGTTTAGACCGATTTCAATGATGGTTCCAGATTACGGTAGGGTAATCAAATTAAAGATAATTTCTTGTGTTATCGGCCTAAACACATTAACCCTTTCTTTTCTGTATGTAAAGCTCTAATAGCAGAAGTGACTCTATATTCAGAAGGGTTTGAGTCGTCGAAAATTCTCGCTCACAAGATGGTTCAAATGTACAAGCTGTGTAGCGAACAGTTGTCCTTGCAGGATCATTACGATTTCGGTATGAGAGCGGTGAAAAGCGTTCTGGTTATGGCAGGATCGTTAAAACGGGCATCTCCGGACCGCAACGAAGACGTTGTACTTATCTGTGCATTAAGAGACAGCAATTTACCAAAATTTCTGTCAGACGATGCGATACTATTTCAAGTAAGTATAAATAATCACTAACAATGGTCGGTGTGTCAGACAAAAAGAACGTGAGACGTCATTTTCAACTTAGCGTGAGAACTGTCCCAGGAAATCGAGGTATTCAAGTACCTTCGCCTGAAAATCCGACTGGTGCTAATAAGTACATCATACTTATCGATAATTTCCGATATATTTTTCGACAGCGAACTCAAATCTAGCTTCACAGTTGCGCTAGATCATCAACATTACAAAATATTCTGATCTGAAAATCATATATCAAATTCTTGCGGTACTGGGCAATTCTCGGGACAAATTCGGACTTTTATGTCGCAAATAAATGATTACACTACCCAACCCAGTTTCCTTTATATTCGACCACCTAGTGGTCGACAGTCCAGATTTTTAAAATCCTGGTCCGATCTGCTATTGGCTACAGTATATGTAGATATGTATAATATACAATATTTTAGGGTATTCTCAGCGACCTTTTCCCCGGAGTCGAATTGCCCGTTGCCGATTACGGAGCGTTCGAAGAAACGATTCGAGAATGTATGATTCTGTTAAAATTGCAAACTGTTGATACGATGATCGTCAAGGTGATTCAGTTATACGAAACGATGATTGTAAGATGGGGGGTAATGTTAGTCGGACCCACGGGTGGCGGAAAGTCCAGCGTCCTTAATGTACGTAAATATATATTCGATAAACGATAGGTACGTAAAGAAACATGGCGATTTTAGACGCTCAGATGTTCCTTATCGAAAATGTACGAGTACGGACACAAGAGTCCTTACTTTCAGCCGGTACGCACGTACATAATGAATCCTAAAGCTGTTACCGCAGGAGAATTATACGGAGAGGTTAATCCTTTCACTTTAGAATGGAGAGACGGCTTAATGGGAATAATGGTTAGGACCGCCGTTCAGGTGAGCGCATGCGTTCTGGGTTTAAATAATTCAAGTTTTACGTATTTCCCTTTAATTTTTATATTGCTGTTTGTTTATCCAATCGTACCTATATACTTGTTACAGTGTACGAACGAAGATCACCAGTGGGTGATTTGCGACGGGCCCGTCGATGCAGTTTGGATAGAAAATCTAAACACCGTACTTGACGATAACAAAATGTTATGCCTGGCTAATTCCGAAAGGATAAAGTTAACTCCTTACGTTCATATGGTATTCGAAGTCATGGATTTGGCGCAGGCCTCGCCTGCAACAGTTAGCAGGTACGAATGTTGATTACTATATGTTATCAACCGCTTCGCCTCTAATGTTGACAAAACAAAAGAAAACAACCGCCCCTTTCAGATGCGGCATGGTTTACATCGATCCTGACGAGTTAAAGTGGCTTCCTTACGTGAAATCCTGGCTCCAAAAGATCGACGACAACCTTATCAACCCGGAGATGAAAGATTTTATACTTAGTTTATTTGAATATGCAATTGAAAAAGCGTTTGTATTTATTAAAAAGAGTTGCGGAATTTCCATGCATCAGGTCGAAGTAAGTAAAATAACGATGGTGTGTAAATTAATGGAAAGTATTTTTAAAACGCCTGGAGCAATGTACAATGTCGGAGAGAAAAGTAAAGTGAGAAACTTCCTCTGCCAAATATTTATTTTTTCTTACTTGTGGGGTGTGGGTGGAAACCTATTGGACTCTTCGAGGGAACGCTATGAATCTCTATTGCGAGATCAATTCGACGAACATCCCGATGCCAGGTAGGTAATTCAAATGCGTAATTATTATTATACGAGTGCTTCTACTGAACCCTAAAAAGGGAGGCTAAACAACAGTCATGATTTTGTGGAAATTAACACCGAATTTTATTTACTAATCGCAAGTGGGTGGGTACCTACTTAAGTTTACGATAAAACTTTCAAAATCGTCTTTAGAATACCACCTGGTAACGATCTTTGGTCGTTGTACATTAACATCCAAAGTCATCGCTTGGAGCCTTGGACAAGAGTAATTCCTCCCTTTGAATATGACAATGAAACGCCATTCTTTGACATGCTCGTTCCCACAATAGACACCGTAAGATATGGACATGTGATGGAAAAATTAGTAACAGTCGGCCATCCCGTTTTATACACTGGAGATACAGGTTAGCGACACCGTTACAACCTATTTATTTATTATTAACGTTACTAACCATCGCAAACAAATCTTAGGCGTTGGAAAGTCGGTGATAGCAAAACAAGTGTTGCTCGCGCTACAAAACACGGGGAAATTCGTTACGGCCTCTTTAAACTTTTCGGCGCAGACGAGCAGTCTTCGAACTCAGGAAATGTTAGAGCTAAAATTGGAACGTAAAAAGAAAACTTTATTGGGAGCACCTGCTGGCAAGAAAATCGTATTATTTGTAGACGATGTCAACATGCCCAAATTGGAGACGTACGGGGCGCAACCTCCCATTGAACTTTTAAGGCAATTTCTAGACTACAGCGGATTGTACGACAGGGACAAATTGTTCTGGAAGGAAATCCGGGACTTGGTGATAACTGCCGCTTGTGGTCCTCCAGGTGGTGGACGGAATCCCCTAACGCCGAGGTTCGTCAGACACTTCGGCATGCTACTTATACCTCCGCCAAACGAATTCACGCTAAAAGCCATCTTCAAGGTAACAGCATTACATGTACGTAGACAAAAACATCACACAAAACCAATGTTACCAATCTCTAGGCGATTTTGAAAGGATTTTTGTGGGATTTCGCCAATCCAGTAAGAGATTTGGCTGACAGCATGATAAATGCTGCAGTAGAAATTTACAACCGCATAGCAGTTGACTTACTACCAACCCCTGCCAAGTCACATTACGTGTTCAACTTACGTGACTTATCCAAATGCATTCAAGGGATTTTACAAGCCGACCAGGGAACCCTTCGGGACGCAGCATCCATGTTGAGGTAAAAGAAAGAGATGGAAGTGCGAAGTAGAAACGATCTAGTCCTAATAATTAGTGGCGCTTTTTTAGACTTTTCTATCACGAATGTCTCCGAACGTTCCACGACCGCCTTATAAATAAAGAGGACAAATGGTATTTTTATTCGCTGATGAGAGAACAGTGCGGCCGTGCATTCGGAAATCCGGTTCTTAATTTACCCGAAGACAACGTTTCCGATTTGCCGATTCTCTTATTCGGCGACTTCAGCCGATTTGGTGTCGAAAAGGAGGATCGAATTTACGAGGAATTTCTAGATATTAACAAAGTCAAAAATGTCCTGCAGGTACAATATTTATTTTACACTAGGTACATTTATTTTATATGAATTAGTAATTAGCCGATGACTCTTGGTGAAACGTATTGACTAAATACATCTACAAATAAATGCATAAATTAGTAATGACTCGCTATTCAGGATTACTTGGATGATTATAATCTAACGACATCGAAAGAAATGAAATTGATCTTCTTCATGGATGCTATCGAGCATTGCTGCAGGATAGCAAGAATTCTGCGAGCTGAACGAGGCAATGCTCTTCTGGTAGGAGTCGGGGGAATGGGAAAGCAAAGTCTAACAAGACTTGCATCGCATGTGAACACTTACAGGTGTTATTATTGTTATAATTATTACTATAACTATTATTATTATATTTTTTTCTCATCTCCGTTTCAGATGTTCTCAAATAGAGCTTACCCGGAATTACGACCACACTTCGTTTTTTGATGACTTGAGGCGATTCTATTTTAACGCGGGCGGATTGAAGGAGATTACCGTATTCTTGTTCACGGACACCCAAATCGTGCAAGAAGAATTTTTAGAAGACATTAACAATATTTTAAATTCAGGTTACACGATGTGTTTATTGTAATGCGATAATACGTATATTATATGATACCTGTAACGCTCGACGAATACTTCATGGCGGTGGTTATTTCAGGAGAAGTTCCGAATTTATTCGAAGCTGAGGAGATGGAAAGAGCGATCATTGCCTGTCGTCCGGATGCAAAAGAAATGGGAATAGAAGAAGGAAATCGCGATGCTATATTTGACTTCTTTATACAAAGAGTTAGAGCGAACTTGCATTTGGTCCTTTGCATGAGCCCTGTGGGAGACGCATTCCGGTAATAAAATTCACACTAAAAAAAATCAAAGCAAATAATGTCCGCCTATACCTACCGTATAAAATGTGCGCAATGAAATTTTAGACGCCGTTGTCGCATGTTTCCGTCGTTGGTAAACTGCTGCACTATCGATTGGTTTACAAAGTGGCCCCAAGAAGCACTACTCTCAGTCGCGAAAAATAGTTTCAAAGACATGGACGAAACCCTACGAGATAATTTGTCGTCAATATGCGTCACCATACACGAGGTGAGAAAAAAAAAAACAAAATTTAATTAACCTTAAACAATTTCAATTTTTTAAAAAAGAGCGTAGAACTGATGACAGAACGATTTTACACTGAGGTTAGAAGACATTATTACACCACTCCGAGCAGTTATTTGGACCTGCTCAAACTTTACGAAAATATGCTTCAAGATCAGAAAGATAAAATTAGCAAGATCAGGGACAGAGTTGCCAACGGTTTAACGGTAGGTAACCCAAGGACGATTAAAAATGCGAAAGATACCTATCGATTAAAAACGCGTTACAGAAAATTTACGAAACAAACGATATGATTGATGTGATGAAAGTGGAACTGACCGAAATGGAACCGCTACTTATTAAGCAATCGGCGGCTGTAGCTGCTCTCATGAAATTTCTCGACAAAGAACAAAAATCTGCCGATAAAGTTAGGGAGATAGTAAAAAGTGACGAAGCTGAAGCAAAGGTACTGCACATGTTATCTAGATAGACATTATAATCATCGTCAGGTTTACTAACGTATGCTACATAGGTACAGGCGTACGTGTAATGCGTAGTATTACGTCTGTTGCATAGGTACCTACTATCTCAATTCAAAATGACCTATCACAGCTTTTTTATTATATGTGCCCAAAAATTTCTAGGTTTGGCCTACTTTTAGTATATAGGCATCTAAATAAATAATGCACATCGATAAATAATAGCACCTGCACGAAAAGTTTCTTCTTATTATAGATAAAAGCCGACGAAACACAAGCACTAGCAGACGAAGCCCAAGCGGACTTAAATGTCGCTTTGCCTGCGTTAGAAGCTGCAGTCAAAGCGCTCGAATCTTTAAACAAGAACGACATCAATGAGCTGAAGGTCTTCGTAAAACCGCCATACCTGGTCAGAGTTGTGATGGAAGCAGTTTGCTTATTGCTTGGAGCAAAGTAAATTTCTATTAATACAACTCAACACTGTGATTTTTATAATAAATTCAATTTTATGTACGTATGTATATACATTAATGTACCGTACCGCTAGAACCGACTGGAATTCGGCGAAACAAGTGATGGGCGACGTGAACTTTCTCAAACGACTTCAAGACTACGATAAGGATCGCATCCCCGAATCTACGCTCAAAAAATTGAAACAATACGTCGATATGAAAGATTTTATTCCCGAAGAAGTGGCGAAGGTGTCGAAAGTATGCAAAAGCATGTGCCTATGGGTTCGAGCTATCGACCAGTATGCGAAAGTTTTCAAAGTTGTCGAACCGAAACGGAAAAGGTAATTTTAATTATCACCTTGACAACGAAACGGAAAAACGGAAAATTTTAAACAGGTTGAACGAAGCAGAAAAAGAACTCAATCAGGTTATGGGAGTGTTGAGAGAGAAGCAGAGACAATTAGCAGACGTAGAAGCTCAAATTGCAAATTTGGAGGCTCAATTTAACGCAAGTGTTGCTCAACAAAAAGCGCTGGAAGATAGCATAGCCCTCACGGCTTCTCGTATTACGAACGCTGGAAGACTAAATATCGCCCTAGGAGACGAACAAGTTCGATGGGAACAAAGTGTAGAGGTATGTAATTAGTAACACCGCAGACCGAAATTACCACACAGTCACGAGCAAGATCGGTCTAATCTAACATGAGAGCACTGTTACGATTATGGTGTCGTTTGTACTTATATTAAGTAATAATTTTTAAGCTTTCAAATAAGCAACTCGCTTGCATTATTGGAGATGTTCTTCTCTCTGCCGCTTGCGTCGCTTATCTGGGAGCCTTCACCAGCAATTACCGTAAAGAACTTGTCGATCGATGGTTCGAAAGGTGCAAGGATTTAAAAATACCTTCTTCCGAAACATACAGGTAGAAAATAAATACTTATGCGTAGGTACTTATAAATATTAAATCTTCTTTTACTCTCGTTCAACCGTAAAACTTAAACATCTTAACCCAATTGCACAATACGTCATCATTATGAGGCCTCCGATTCGGCATGCACCTTCACTTCCTTCTGCCTTGAGCAAATCTTTGCATTTCTCGAAAACTAAAGCAGCCTACCCCTCCAACTCTATTAGCGAACAATAATCTGCCTCAACTCCCGTTTCTGCTTCTGACATGTCTCTAACTCTAGCCCTTCTCATATCTGAGAAGACGTCCTACCAACCTATTTAGTGCTATAGGTACCTAAGTAAATACTCCTTGCTAGTGGCTAATACTGCCGTAGTGCCTATCTATTAGATATAAATGTGTTTAAGTTTATTGGCGGTGCTAGCGGATCCGTACGAAATACGAATGTGGAACGCGTGCGGTTTGCCACGAGACGACGTTTCGACAGAGAACGCCATCTTGGTAACGAAAGGTAATCGTTGGCCATTGATGATTGATCCTCAAGAGCAAGCCAACAGATGGATAAAACAAATGGAACAGTCCAAACACTTGCGAGTCACGAAATTAACAGATCCAAACTTTATGCGAGTTCTAGAGGCAGCCATAAGACTGGGAAATCCCGTGTTACTGGAGGAAGTTGGCGAAACACTCGATCCAACATTGGATCCGATCTTACTAAAGCAAACATTTGTAACGGTAATCACCTACGTTTTGCGAAACTACCTTACAAAAACATCGTAACACGTATCTATTTAACATTTAGGGCGGTCGCCTTCTTATTCGTCTCGGAGATTCTGATGTCGAATACGACACAAATTTCAGATTTTATGTAACGACAAAATTAGCCAACCCCCATTACTTGCCCGAAATATGCATCCAAGTTACCATTGTGAATTTTACTGTAACACCTTCTGGTCTAGAAGATCAACTACTTGCGTAAGTAATTAGTAGATAATAAATAGAAAAATAATTCGATATCTATCTACATATGTGTGTTGTATGTACATGCATAGTGACGTGGTAAGATTGGAAAGACCTGAATTGGAAGAACAAAGAACTGAACTTATAATAAGAATAAACAGTGACAAAACGCAACTGAAGTCCATCGAAGATAAAATTTTAAAACTTCTCTTTACATCCGAAGGAAACGTATTAGACGACGAAGATCTTATTGAAACTCTTAACGAGAGTAAGGTGAGATGATGATAGATTAATGAGATGAGACGTTAAAATTCCCGAGCAATTCCCAATTAGGTATACCTATGTACGTACGAGTAGGTACATGTACGTAGGTAGGTAATAAAAAATAATGAAAGTTAATTACCCATTTAAAAAATTGACTGAAAACACGGTAAAGATTAAGAATAATTGCTGCAATTTTTATTATTCGAAACGTTCCAAATCGGCGCATTTGTTCTACAATGTCGCTGTAACTCGACATAGGCAGATACATAGTATAATTTTAATGATTCGTGTTGAACGATACACACTAACTTAAGTTTAATGTCTATAATATGACAGGAAACATCGGCAATCATTGCCGCCAGACTTATAGAAACAGAAGCAACGGAAGAGAAGATTTCGATTGCTCGGGAAAAATATCGACCGGTTGCGACAAGAGGATCCGTGCTGTATTTCGTAGTTGCTCAACTAGCTGAAATCGACCCTATGTATCAGTATTCTTTGAAGTACTTTACTCAGGTGAACAGTTTGAACTAATCCTAAAATTAGTATTAGGACCTTTAAAACAAGTTGCACTTATACCTTATCTTGTTATTAGATAATAACGTTATGTAGGTACATATCTATAATAATCTAAATAGGTTTTCTGTATGGTCATTGAGACGAGCGAAGCCAGTTCGAATTTGGAATACAGACTGGAAATCCTTTATCGGGAAATAACGATTTCCGTATACACGAACGTATCTCGCGGCCTATTTGAAAAACACAAGCTAGTATTCAGTTTCATGCTTTGCGTAGCAATTTTCACGGAAAACGGTCAAATTAACGACGCGCAAATGAATTATTTAATGAGAGGACCGGTGGGTGCAAGAGCTCCAACCGTTGCCAAGCCCAATTTTCCTACTATTACGGAGGCCATGTGGGTCGGAGTTAATCATTTGGCCGACACCTTCAACTATTTCGCTCGTTTACCTCAAGACATTACAAACGTGATCAAGGTCCAAATTGGAGACTTTACGCAGGTATGTTATGTTAATGTAATTGTTACCATAAACTATGCTAAACGTAGGTTAATACTGTACCACAATTGCGTGTCTAATTAATATTTTTTAAAGGAAATCGTTGTTGTACCGAAAACAACATCAAAAAGTACCATCGAGTGGAATAAGCAAGTCCAAGACTTCGATAAATTATTAATGTTGAAAACGTTGCAAGAAGAAAAATTGGTATTTGCTATAACACAATTTGTAAAAGTAAAAATGGGCCAATCGTTTATAGAAAGTCCCCAAATAAGTTTGAATTTACTGTAAGTTTCTATAAGGTGGACATATTTTTTAACCACATTATCTCCAAACGGTCGAAGATCGACGATTAGCGTTATTAATTAAATACTGTTTTCAGTTTTAAAGATACCTCCAATATAACACCGTTGATATTTATTTTGAGCACCGGATCTGATCCATTTAGTGCATTTCAAAGATTCGCTGCAGAGGTCGGATTCCTAGAACGAATTCAATCCATTTCATTGGGTACACTACACGTTAGCCTATTATGACAAGATAATGTCGTGTTAGATGTATATACGTACAATATTATATCTTTAATTTGTTATCTAGGTCAGGGGCAAGGACCTGTCGCTGAGAAGATGATTTCAACGGCTAAACCAAAAGGAGACTGGGTATTTCTACAGGTAGGTACCTATTTGAATTTTTGTAAAATAGCTGCGAAAATCAAAAAATGGTAAATTCATTTCAGAACTGCCATTTGGCAACGTCGTGGATGTTGGCAATGGAAAAAATTGTCCTCCAAATAGCCGAGGACCCTTCGGCCATTCACAGTGAATTTAGAATCTTTATGAGCTCAATGCCTTCCAAGGCGTTCCCTGTTTCAGTTCTTCAAAACTCCGTTAAAGTTACAAACGAACCGCCCAAGGGAGTACGGGCTAATATAAAACGAGCTTTCAGCGAAATGACAGATGAATTCTTCGAAGACCACCGTAAGTACCTACCATACGTTAGGTGTACATAGGTATATGTAATATACAAACGACTTAATGTATAAACAACCGTCACGCTTATCTGCTATAGCTTTGGACCAAGATTGGAGAACGATGTTGTTTGGTCTTTGCATGTTTCATGCAATCATACAAGAACGCAAGAAATTCGGACCTCTCGGATGGAACATCATTTACGAATTTAACGATAGCGATCGCGAGTTTGCCTTTAACACCCTGAAAATGTTTTGTGCCGAAGGTACCATACCGTGGGACGCTCTCGAATATATAACGGGTAATACCTACCTATTTATTTATGCAAATCAATTAATTACTGAATTCGATCGTTGCACCTCGTTTTTAATTACAAACAGGAGAAATAACGTATGGAGGTCGAGTAACGGATCATTGGGATCTACGTTGTTTGAAAACAATTCTCAAAGGATTTTTCGCGCCGCACACCCTACTGCCTAACTATACTTATTCAAAGTCGGGGGTGTACTACTGTCCGCAATTCGAAAAAATACAAGAGTACCGTGAATTTATCGACGATTTACCTATAATCGAACCTCCAGAAATATTTGGAATGCACGAAAATGCCAATATCGCTTTTCAGACAAAAGAGACGCAAAGTATCATCAAAACACTTCAAGATTGTCAACCGCGTTCCGGAGGAGGGACTGAAGGAAAATCTAGCGACGAAATTGTTTATGACTTAGCCCAATCGATCAGAGAAATTATTATGGACAGACTAAACCCAGACCTAGTTCACATAAATATGTTTAAGGTGATGTTGAGCTGTTACTTATTATTTGTATCTCAATGTTTAAAAATGGAATTCAATTGTGTTTATTTCGCAGAGAGATGACAAAGGTAGACTTCCGTCTTTAACGACAGTTTTACTTCAAGAAATAGACCGTTTCAACAAACTATTAACTATGCTTCATTCGTCACTAATTAATTTACAAAAAGCAATAAAAGGACTCTTGGTAATGTCAGATGCGCTAGAAGAAGTCTTCACAGCTTTCATCAACAACGCCGTATGCATTTTTCCCACAAACAAAACGTGAAAATTTTTTTTAACGAAAATGTCTTTTTAAGATCCCAAAAATGTGGTCATCAAAGTCATACCCGTCTTTGAAGTCTTTAGGAAGTTGGGTACACGATCTAGAGCTGCGACTTGACTTTATAAGTGTACGAACAATATTGGTTTTTTTTTAATGGCCACGGTTTCAATTTTGATTCAATTTATAGATTTGGATGCAGTACGGACATCCGAAATCCTACTGGCTCTCTGGATTTTATTTCACCCAGGGATTTTTGACAGGAACTCTACAAACTCATGCCCGAAAATACGACGTCCCTATTGATCAATTAAAATATAACTTTATAGTACAAAGAGTCTACGTCGATCAAGAAGAAATCAAAAAAGCACACGACGAACAAGATTACGAGGTACCTACCTAACAATAGGTATAGATTTATTCATAAACTTCATATCAATATAGCGTGTTTCTTGCTATATTATTATGGAGCTTTGATTTATTTATGTGTTTAACAAATCGTTAAAGTAAATTTATTGTTGTTTTTGACTTACAACATCTGTGTTTAAGGACGCTCCACAACTGTTGCCTATTAATCAATTATGTAAAAAAACATTCATCAATAGATGCCTAACATGCATCATATAGGTAGTGTGTGCAAAACCCCAAATTGCATTCAGAGTTTTGTTATGTTTCCCGATCAATCTCTTTCCGATTCTAGTTTTATCCACATTCAAATAGAGATTCACCGAGAAGCACAAGGCAACCCTAAAATGGGCAACTTCACAATAATACACACAAAACATTAAGTAGATACTTATATATGTATAGAATCAACTATTATACATAAACAGATATATGTATGTACCTAAGTACTGCTCGCCGGCCATTTTATGTTACTGCAAGTTGAGCTAAAATGTTTACAAAAACCCTACTTATTGCTTATGGAAGCCGCTTACCGAACCAATTCAGAGAGATCAGGCTATCCATTCGTAGCTCGTTCACACGTTATCACTTAAGCACCGATAATGTTTATCAGTTTTTAATCAAATTATCTATCACTACACACACGTATGTATATGTATAAGTACGCCATTAATTCGCGAACGTTATGCACCGACGCGACTACTAACGAAATAATAAGTAAAAAAACCACCAACTATAATGCAATTACCACAGAAGAAAATTGTGATACCAACGTGAAAGTATATCGGCCTTGAACATGACAACCGATACCTACTATAAGTACCACAGAATTGATTATCCACGACAATTTCTTATCAATTAGGTACCATCTCTTTTTCTTAGTCGTTTTTACTAACTTGATTACAAAAATAATAGAAAAAGTCAAAAGGACCATGATTACCTACAAAGTATGGCATTATACTTGTACGTACTGCATTCCTATTTGATGAAAAGTTTTCGTATCAAAAAGTAATGCTTTTGAAAGCAGCTTTTCTTACTAACCACGCATTATTGAGCACCAATTTATTAATTTGCCAAGCAGCACAAGAATTACCTACAGTATATCTCTACAAAACTACCAAAAGTAAGGACGTTCTACCTAACATTGATTAATAAAACATAAACATACGGTATGTTATGTTTCCCGATCAATCTCTTTCCGATTCTAGTTTTACACACAATCAAAAAGAGAACGAACGAAAAATACAAGGAAGCTTCAACAATGGGCAACTTCACAATAATACGTAAAAATTACATTACGAATTTTGTAATTAAAATTGTTTATTTGCAATGCAAGTTGTTTTATACAATGTGGAAAAGTAATGCGCAACACCCACCTATAATATTTAACTCGACGTGTACCCACCGTCAGCCATTTTGTTAAGGTAAATTCTGCTGAAAATCTACAAAAAAAACTACTTATTGTAAGAAGAAATCACTCACCGAACCAATTCAGAGGATGTAGACTGTCCAGTTGTATCCCGTTCATACGTTATCACTAACAGAAATAAAGTTAGTTTTTAATTGAACTATCTAGTACACACACAAACGGCATAAATTCACGAACGTTACGCAACACCGACAAAAAACCACTAACTAAAACTTACTACTGTAGAAAACCAACCCGAAAATGAAAAAGAAAACCTTAATGCCCTTGAAAGTGACAACCGATATCACCACCTAATTTACATATGTATAATCGCCCGTTACATTGAAAATTAATATATTATTTAATACGAAACATGTTTAAGTATAACACATTGAAATTTCTGGTGGTTAATTTTAATTAATAACCATCTCTTTTCTTGGTTATTACCAACACACTAATAGATAACGGCTATTATACTGATGTAATTAGCACAGATTTGGTTCTTAAATAAATGGCAACAATAACAGTATAAAAATTTAACCATTTATTATTTTGTTAAGACACCATAACATGAAAAACCACGTCTTTTGTATTGTTCTTGATATACATAAAAACATTTGATCAAAACAAAACCGGCTAATTAAACAATTTAAGTACCGGCATAATATAAACAAAAGTTAAATTGTTGTATATAACTCGCAGGCGCATTCAACATTTTCAATAAATTAAAATGATTTATAAGTTTATTGTTACTTTAAATCAAAATTTGACTATTGAAAATATGTGAATTTTTCAAAAATTATTGCATCGTAAGTTAGGCAACCAACAACCCTGATCTGTCAGAATGGGAACCAACCATTTCTTTATAAAAGTAATCGCTTTGTATATTAATTTTTGAATGTTTGATACGGCAGAGATAATTTAAATGATTTATTACGATTTTAATACAAATAAGGGAACGATGTGGTTATAATACAGTCATTTATTAAGACACCATTAATTATATGCATGCAATTTTGATCAAAAGCAATTAAAACTAAACGTAATGTTTAAGGTGCGGTCGGTTTTTGGTGCTTTAACAACCCCTACAGACGGAGTAATTATCCATGGATTATATTTGGACGCTGGAAGATGGGACAACCGAAACGGGATCTTAGTGGACGCTGAACCAGGTCAGCAAGCAGTTACATAAAAATAACTTTTTACTTTACTTCCTTTTATTTATTCATTATTTGATACATTCTAATAGGTAATAAACAGTTGATAAAAGTTTGTTACTTTATTTACAGGTGAAATAAATCCTCCATTGCCTTCAGTTCACTTCATGCCAGTCGTAAAACTACCGGCCAAAGACACCCGTTACGTATGTCCTTTGTACAAAACCTCAGTGAGGGCTGGCACTTTATCAACCACCGGACACAGCACCAACTTTGTCCTTGCAGTTTTCCTGCCAACAACTGAACTTCAAAGTTACTGGATATTGAAAGGCACCGCTTTACTTACTCAACTCACAGATTAATTACTGTTCCTCCTGCGTTTTAGTTAATTTAATTGTTAGTTAACATATTCACTTACTATGATATCGACCCTCATTCAACCTTAAATAAAAACTCGTTTTTTCTTTTTTATTTTTTAGATAGCTGTATT